CGTTGTGGGTTGGTGGAAGGAATACTTCGAAGACCACCTCAATCCCACCAAAACGCTTTCCAATGAGGAGTCTGGGGACTTGGGGGAGGGCTCACCTATCTCTGGGGCAGAGGTCGCTGAGGTGGTTAAAAAGCTCCTTGGTGGCCAGGGGTGGATGAGATCTGCCTGGAGTTCCTCAAGTTTCTGGATGTTGCAGGGCTGTCCTGGTTGACACGCATCTGCAGCATTGTGTGGACATCGCGGGCAGTGACTCTGGGTTGGCAGACCGGGGTGGTGGTCCCACTCTTCAAGAAGGTGGACTGGAGGGTGTGTTCCAACTATAGGGGGATCACACTCCTCAGCGCCTCTGGTAAGGTCTATTTGGGGGTCCTGGGGAGGAGAGTCCGTCAGATAGTCGAACCTCAGATTCAGGAGGAGCAGTGTGGTTTTCGCCCAGGCCGTGGAACGGTGAACCAGCTCTATACTCTCGGCAGGGTCCTGGAGTGTGTGTCGGAGTCTACATGTGCTTTGTGGACTTGGAGAAGGCATTCGACCGTGTCCCTTGGGGAGTCCAGTGGGGAGTGCTCCAGGAGTATGGGGTGCCGGGCTTCCTTATAAGGGATGTTCGGTCCCTGTACGACTGGTGTCAGAGCTTGGTCTGCATTGTCGGCAGTAAGTCAGACTCGTTTCCAGTGAGGGTTGGACTCCGCCAGGGCTGCCCTTTGTCACCGATTCTGTTCATAACTTTTATGGACAAAATTTCTAGGCGTAGCTAGGGCAATGAGGGTGGTGACCTCAGGATTAGGTCTCTGCTTTTTGCAGATGATGTGGTTCTGTTGGCTTCATCTCACCGTGACGTTCGGCTCTCACTGGAGCAGTTCGCAGCCAAGTGGAGGAGTTTAAGTATCTCGGGGTCTTGTTCACGAGTGAGGGAACGATGAAGCGGGAGATCGACAGGCGGATCGGTGCGGCGTCAGCAGTGATGCGGGCGCTGCATCGGTCTGTCATGGTGAAGAAGGAGCTGAGCCAAAAGGCAAAGCTCTTGATTTACCAAGTCAGTCTATGTCTATGTTCCTACCCTCAGCTATGATCATGAGCTGTAGGTAGCGACCGAAAGAACAAGGTCGTGAATACAAGAATCCGAAATGGGTTTCCTCCACTGGGTGGCTGGGCTCTCCCTTAGGATGAGAAGTTCGGTCATTTGGGAGGGACTCAGAGTAGAGCCACTGCTCCTCCGCATCGAGAGGAGCCAGATGAGGTGGCTCAGGCATCTAGTCAGGATGCCTCCTGGACACCTCCCTGATAAGGTGTTATACACATGTCCCACTGGGAGAAGGCTCCGGGACATGCTGGAGAGACTGTCTCTCGGCTGGCCTGGGAACACCTCGGGATTCCCCTGGAGGAGCTGGACGAAGTGGCCGGGGAGAGGGAAGTCTGGGTTTCCCTGCTTAGACTGCTGCCCCCGCAACCCGACCCGGAAAAGTGGTAGAAGATGGATGGATTGATGGATGGATGGATTAACAGACATTTTAAGCAAGGGTGCAAAACCCTTTGCATGCTATTGTATGAACTTGGCCTGATTTCTCCATAAACCTTGACTTTCCTTAAACTGTTTTCTAAGTTATATTGGACTTTTAGTGATGACCAGGTTACGAATAAAACATTTATCTCCTCAGTCGACCACTGGGGTAATTTCTCCTAGCTAGAACCATTGACCTTCGCTATGTTTTCAGCAAACACTATCAACCAAAACATCAGACAGCTCAGCCTGCTCCGTGGGGTGGTACACTGCCTGTTCTCCCTCTCACTGAGTCTTCAGAAAGTGCCTTCAGCTCTGGAAGACATTTGGTGTGGTCTCTGTTCCAATGAAAGGGCACTCCAGCTCCCTTGAAGACTTTACATCTCATGATGATCTTCAAGGGGCTGGTACTGAAAGGGACCACCTGGATCCCCTGCTGACACACCTGACATACCTCTTCAAAACTGCGTGGTGGTTGAGGTTGAGGTGTTTAGATTGACAGACTAGGGTGCTGGTCCCAGTTTTTAACAAAGATGACTGGAGGATGTTTTTTTCTCAGGAAAGTAAAAGTTTTTAGATTATAAAATAATTGGAGAATGCCAATATCTAAAGCTATTTTGCAGAGTGTTTTGTCCCTTTGGGTTAATTTGTACCTTTGGAAATATGCATGCACAGGATCGTATGAAATTGCAGCATTTTATCAAATTAGCCAGTAGGGTCATTGGAGTTGATCAGGTATTTGCAGCCCAGCCATACAATGAGCTTATTATGGGACAAAACAAATTTTAGATGATCCTACACATCCCCTGTTCTTGAAGATTTTCAGAAGTCGTAGGTCGAATGGCAGAATTCTGCACAGAGTAATCAGAACAACAAGGTAGAAGTCATTTGTGCCATCAGCAATTAGACTGCACAATAACAGACAAAGTATATCTGTTGTACCTTAATTTTACCTTTTTGCATATATCCATGCGATTTTATTTATTCTCTTGCCCTTTCTGTATTTTTGTCATGTTTATACTGTGGTATGTTTACTGACTGTTTGTCTTGTCATCTGTTTGAATGCTATTTGTCATGTGAGACGTGCAATGTTGACCACATGAATTTCCCCTGGGGGGATGATATATTTTGTACATCATCCACTACTAGGTGGGAGCTGAATGTGAGTTCAACCATCAGGCAAAATAAACATACTTGTTTGCCAATATTACATCTGCCAGAGGGTTCCCTATGGTAAATTTAGCTGCAGTTTACCTGAAACACTGCAGTACAGCCAAACTAAGAAATTATTAGAAATTACTATAGAAATTTCCTTCTGCAATCTAGACATGCAATTAAGTAAATTGGTTTCTCCAAATAATTAATTTTGTGTCAGTGTGCATCTTGTCCAAGGTACACCTCTGTCTTGTGCCCTGTGCTGTCTTTGATTGGACTCCCTGACCCTGTACAGAATACATGCTTAGAAGATGAAAGGATTGGGATAAACACGTGAATTTTGGAATCGTAGGCCACCAAACATTTTTTAAAACCTTTAATGAATTTACCTTTCTGCCAGCAAAATGGTAGCACTTCACATTAACTGCACCTTCATAATGCCTTTAAAATACATTTGTAGACCATTCAGTGCATAATGCATTCATAATGAAGGACATTCATAAGCAGCAAGTAGACCTTGACATCCTAACATACGTACATACCAATAACAGCTTTAATATACAGTGGTACCTCGGTTCTGGAACTCACTAGAACTCAAATTTATTGAAAGTCGAACAAACCAGTTTGACCTAGAACTCGATCTGAATATCAGAAGTCGAAGCGTGAACGCCAACCTAATATAAATTGTACGTGCCAGGAAATGAGTCATACTTAGGGATGGGAATTGATGATTTTCACGATTCCGATTCCATTTTCGATTCTGTTTAACAATTTGATTCTTTATCGATTCTCCTATCGATTCTTATTTTTAAAAAAGGAGAGAACACACAGGTCAATTAGCTTAGAACTTTGTTTTATATCTTATCTTTGAACAAGATAGATAAGGGTGCCACGGGGTCCCCAGAAAAAAAAATTGTAAATGTAAAAAAATAATAAAATAAATAAATAATTCTGTAGCAATAACAAAGTATAACATAAATTATTCTGTGGCAATTACACAAGAATGTCCAGTGACATTTGCACTCTCCTTTTTAAAAGTACAGTATATAAATCAACTAACATAATATGCAATGTTAGTTGATTAGTTCCCTGCTGTATTAACAGGAGAGGACGTGCAAACGTTACCGCTGCTGCTGGGTTGAGATTCACTAGTCCGGAGCGGATCAAAAACACGACATTCATTTAAGGTTATCACGTGTTTTGTGAGCAAATGCTTTTGCATATTCGTAGTGTTTCCTCCCTTTGATGAAATCTCTGCTTTGCAAGTATTGCAAGTTGCCCTGTTGTCATCCTTTCTCGTAAAGTATAACCAAACTTTTGAGCGTTTGTGCCGCTTAGGCGCCATGTTTTCTGCTGGGTAAATGACGCTACGCAACGTGGTGACATCATTGGAGGCGACTGGAATCGATAGGGGAATCGTTTGCAAAAATGGCAAACAATTCCAAGGAATTGAAACAGTGGGAATGTTTTCGATTCCCATCCCTAGTCATACTACAATGCAATTCTTACTTGAATGCCTTCTTCACAGACTGGACGATTAACCAAATAAAGCAGCGCAACATTACAGTAACTAACAATAAATAAACCACTAGCTTACGTGTACTATTAGAGCATTTATGTCATGTATTTAAACTTTATTTTATCTGGTAAATTAACTGAAAACCAGTTCTCACTGCTTTGTGTGATATTTGGGAGAAATAGCAGATTACGCATCAGAACTGCCTGGGATACAAACGTCATGCATGTAACTAAACTCTTCAGCCAATAAGAGCAAAGGTGTGTCGTCACGGAGGCGGTTCCAGTTTGTGCAGCCGGGTGAGATGTCGCAATGCATCTAACCGTAATGCATTGCGTCAGGATCAGAATGCGTTGCTTTAAGCCAGCGCTGTAAGCAAGTCGAGCGTACCCAATGATCGGACTGGGGAAACAAACTGAAACGCGGACTTAATACAGAGGACTTGACAACAACCAGAAACAGCTGATCACATGGGGATCCCACACGAGGTTAACGAGGGGGCGTGGCACACGGGAGGAGCGGACGATTGGATAAGATCTTTATCGTTTTGGAAGCCATTAAGAAAAAAATGCTGCTCTTGTTTTATCCTGTTCATTTTGTGTTTAAATGCTAAAAAAAAACATATTTAGGTGTAATTTTGGGGGGCCGGGAACCAATTAATTGGTTTTCCATTATTTCTTATGGGAAAAATTCGATCAGAACTCGAACTTTTTAGGATTTGATCCGGAGTCCGGAACGGATTAAGTTCGAGAACCGAGGTAACACTGTACATTAATAACAAACATTTCCATAGTGCTATTTATTTATGTATGTATGTATATTTAATTACAGATCAATTGAAGGCTGTGATGGAACAGGTACTGAAATTTGCAGTTTTGGAGTTAACGAAGATTGTAGAAGCCAGCTTTGATGACCTGCTTTTGGAACTGGTGAAAAAGGAGAAAGAAAGCAAAATTCTGAAGCAAAGTTTGACAGAGGGTGATCAGATTTCAAAGCAAGATTGCAATATAGATCTTAAATCCCCAGAAAACCATTCAAGATGCCCCAGCAGTTCAGATAAAGGTGACCAGGATAAAGAGTCATCTCAGGACCCACCAAGTAGTAAAAGCTGTGGAGCAGATGTGGAGCATAGTGAGAAACCAATGAATGTGGAAACTGGTAAGTTTTACATTTTTTAATTTCATTTGTCATTAATACAAGTTTACTCTTGTGTTCCCCAGATATGTAATACATGTGGTTTTTGAACTGGTCCACACTAACACATAAACTTATCTTGTTAGCAGGTTAACTCAAAGAGTAATTTTCAGGTCTTTTTCATATTTTGCAGGCACATTACATTGGTAGAGATCTGAAAATTTTGAAATAAATTGCACTAAAATAGAAGCAGCACTGCATTGTGATAGTGAAGAGAATGGCAGCCTCACACACTTGATGTTATTAATGTGATAACTCCAAAAGTATTTTACAGATCTGGAGAAAAAATTCTACAGATATTGAGACAGTAGTTATAGCTGACAGCAGAGGGCGAAAAGGGAGGCTGCAGCACCATCTTGTGAACACAGCCATCTGCCATGTATTCTGTGGATCTTTTTGCAAGCTTCCCAGGAACATTGTACAGAACAGTGTTTCTCAAACTATGGGACACAAGATGATTTTCTGAATGTTATAAAATAAAATTTATATGCATATATATTTTTTGTCCCCAGCCCCACCACTCAAATTTTATCAGTAGTAGTCTGGTAGCTGGTCAGCAAAATTGGGTAATTCGAAATTATCATGGGAAATTTACTGTTGGGAAAATTAATCCCTTGTCCTAAACTACAGAAAATTGCCGATTGTTCAATGCACTTATCGCCATTATTTGAATATTTGTGTCTTTCAAAAATATTTCAAGATTTTTCAATACTCTCTATCTGCATATGAGATACTCTTGGGCAGGAAGCACGCCCATTTTCAAAAATTGAGATATAAGTGATCCTTCAGATTATAGACCAATTATCTTGATTAACTGGAAAATTGAAGGAGGCAATAATCCAGGGAAACATTATTGAATACCTAAACACTAATACCATTCTGAGGGACATCCAGCATGGGTTTAGGAGGGAAAGGGAAAGATGTTACAGCAGGACCTCGATCTAATTAAAGACTATGCTGATAAATGGCAGGTGAAATTTAATCTTAAATATTTTATGGGTTCAACTGAAATTAAGGAAGCTGATTACGGGAAAGATCTGGGTGTGTACATTGACACTTAAATGTCTCACTCTGCCTTTTTAACTGCTTCCCCGCATTGGCAAAACGAAATGCTAGGCTGCATTTCCAGGTGTGTAGCGTTTAAATCAACGGATGTAATGCTAAGACTATATACAGTGCTCTCCATAATGTTTGGGACAAAGACATTTTTCCTTGATTTTACCCCTCTGTTGTGATCTGTTGGACAGGCATTTGGGGATTTTTCTTTCCCATAGTGAGGTTTCTCCTGTCATCAGCAGTGGAGGTATTCCTTGGCCTACCAATCCCTTCGCGAGTACTGAGCTCACCAGTGCATTATTTCTTCTTAATGATATTCCAGACAGTTGATTTTGGTAATACTAAGGTTTGACCGATGTCTATAATGGTTTTATTTTGTATTTCAGCCTCATAATAGCTTCTTTGACTTTCATTGGCACAGCTCTTCTCCTCATGTTTAACAATGGCAACTACAGACTCCAAATGTTAGAAGCAAGCCTAGGTAACTTATTCCTGCACTAATGAGGCAATGAAACACACCTGAGTAATCACAAACACCTGTGAAGCCAAATGTCCCAACCATTTTGGTGCCCTGAAATGGGGGGACTATGTATAAAATGTGTTGTAATTTCTACATGGCGTAACCAAGATGTATGCAAATAACTTTAATATAAAGTATGGAATGTGCTCTATAATCATGTCTGAATTGTTCGATTTGAAATTTTAAACTGTGGAGCAGAGGGGTAAATCAAGGAAAAATGTGTCTTTGTCCCAAATGTAATGGAGGGCTCTGTAATTCTCTCAGTTTACCTTCAATACTGTGTCCAGGTTTGGTCACCTTACTTCAAAAAGGACATCGCTGCTTTAGATGGGGTCCAATGCAGGGCTGCAAGAATGATACCTGGCCTTAAGGGGGATGTCTTGCAGACAGAGGTTGGCAGAGCTGAATTTGTTTAGCCTCAGGCAAAGGAGACTAAGTGGTGACTAGATACAGTTATCCAAGAGTAGGGGAACACTTTAGTTTGGATCTGAGAAAGAAATTCTTCTCATGGTGTGTAATTAAAGTATGGAATAGTCTGGGGTAGTGCAAACTAAAACCCTAGATTCCTTCAAATTTGAATTTTGATGGGCCAAATGGCCTCCTCTCATTTGTAACCTTATGTTCCTAACATTGCACATTGATCACATTTAAGTACTGCCCTACAGTATCGGCCGATGCTGATTATTAATTTTTTGTAATGAATATTGGCTGATACCAATTTTATCGTAAGGATAAGTGTTCCATTGCACTACTTTTGGACTGCGCAACAGATCTTATCTGTGTGTAATTAAAATCAGATTCAACCTGCACTATATAATTATCCCCAGTGTTACTTGAACCTGATGATCTCACTGTTTTTACTGATAACCAGTTTGAGCTGCACCAGTGTTGCTTGAACTGCATTACTTTTGTTAAATTGCGTTACTTTTGCTATCAGGCCATTATTCCTAGACTGGAATTGATTAGTCAATAAAATGTTGACATTCTGATGTTAGTATTTAATGTTTCCATTTAAGTATTTACCTCTTAGTTTTTCAGCAAAAAATTCAACAAATCAGTTAGATTAGTTGATTAATAGAAACCTACTGTTAGGTGAAAATACATTTTAATACAGTGTACATCATAGTCTAACCTACCTTAAACATGATTAGAACATTTCCATGATCCTACAGCTGAACAAAATCATAATATAATAAAGTGTTGAATATCTCATGTAATTTATTGAATAATGTACTGAAAGTGAAAAACAGAACAAAATGGAATACCCATTGTAAAGTCAAAATATCGTAACACGAACCATCGCAATCCAGGGTGCATCTGTATAAATATTAAAGGAAAGACTCTCTTGACATCTGTTTTGGCATTTATTTGTATAACTGAAATCTACCAATATGCTAATTTAACATATTCTGGACAGTCCTCCACAAATATTGGTTAGTATTTGAAATTTTGGCCATTTTCCATGATTGTAATATTACAGAATCTGTTGGTTTTAGAATACATTGATACCTGTTGCTTGTCAAATCAGCATATGGTTGGGATGTAGGTAATGGAGCGCATATATATATATATATATATATATATATATATATGCGCGCTTCAGTATATGTGTGTGTGTGTATGTTTTTGCAAACAATGTGAGAAAGCACCACTATATGGCTTTGTGTTATGACCTCTTATTCTTCCTGTTGTGCACATAACTGTAGGTCATTTTAGAATGGGAAAATTTGGAAGATTTTTGCTCAGCTTTAAATGTATTGAAGGTAACTTTGAAATGTGTGTTACTACCTGAAGTCACAAATGTTCTTTACATGTCTTCACTAACTTAGTGTGTGACTGTATGAGTATGTCTGTGTGTGTCTGAGGGACTGGTTTCCCCATCTTGTATTCTGTGTCTTGGGCTCTTTGTTCTGGTATGGACAGTATGTACTTCAGTTATTATTCGATGGACTGACTAACTCATTTCCCTCTACATGATCAGTGACAGGGAAGCAGACTGTCCTTTCTGTAGCTCAAGACTGGGTACCCATTCTGGATAAGGTCTTTGGCCAAAAGTGGTGCAGCGACTTGTGGCAGAACAAAGAGCTCGAAGGTGAGGAACATGTGGTCGCAAACAAGACAGGCGCTACATCCATGGCCACCCCAGATGGTGTCATCCCAGAGAAGAAGGATGCCCTCTTCACCAGCCAGCAAGAAACCACTTCAGGTAGGATGGATGTGTGGAGTAGGCACCACAATCATGGAGGATTTTACTCTCACTGTTAGAACATTCAGATGTACAATCAGTCAATGCAAAGTTTTGTATGGAGCAGATATTTAATTTTGGTTGATCTGTTTCCAAAGGAAGTTCCTTCATGTATGTGCATCCATCTGTTGGCGGAGATCACAGCCCCTGCCCATCTAGTGATGACCTCCAGCTCAAATCTCCCTCCATACTGCACAGACTCCTGACGATTCCATCGCAAGGGCTCAATGAGCTTCTCTGCTCTAACCATGACATTCCTGTTGAGCCGTTACCCACGTCTTCTGGTGCATCACCAGACACACATGAGCATCAGAGGGAGCCACAGGTCCTTAATGTAGATCAGCTACTGCCTCCTGGGGAAGAGGAAGCAGGTGAAAAGGAGTATGTGGAGGCTAAAGCCCCAGTGGGGAGAAAGAACTACACCTGCAAGCAGTGTGGAAGGAAATTCAGCCGACAGCCCCTGCTGAAAGTCCACCAGCAGACGCACACCACCGGTTCTCTGGTGCGCTGTTCGCTGTGTGGGAAGCGCTTTTCCCATCCTGAGCGTCTGCAGGCACATCTCCGGACTCACAATACCGCAAGAACTTGAGCAGTTACATGACATCTTCATATATCATCAGACACCTGTGCCTCTTACATATAGCTTTTTACTCCATTTAGTTTACTAAATGAAGGAAGCCGTTGGGCTGGCATTTCAGTACATGTCATCTGTAGTCTGCATTAAAGGTAACTGAAGAAAGATGACACCAAATGGAACTTAGCTAGAAATGGACAATGGTTTACAGTAAGTTGTCTTAGTCATGCAGGTGAACATCATACAATAAACTACTGATCTCTGATAGCAAAGTAGTCATAGTTTATAACCAGTGACAGCACTGATCTTAGCATGAGGTAATGTAGATTGACAAAGAGAGTAAGTGCTCTGAAATTTAAATGACCTTTTCATGTGTTAAAAATATGTTCAAACTATGTGAACTAAGCGTCATGGTTAAAATTCAACATAATCAAAAGAAACCTATCTAACCATTATAAAGATTTTTAATAGTGCAGATCTGGAATTATGCATTTCACAAAATGAAATGGGAAACATCCAAATGCTTCTGCAATGCAGTTTTTATTACCTTGGCAAAAAAGTCAAATGTATCAAATCTTAAATTAATCTGCTTTGGGGGAGATTACAGACAACCCAAAAGAAACCGACATGCAGATGTAACAATAATTTGATACATTTTTACATACTTATTCTTGTTTTCAGCCCACTTGCAGAGCTTAGTAAAGTGTGAATATGTGGTTGACCTATTTCCAATAGAAATGCACGTTGTTATAATGCATACATTTTTTAAATAAGGGACTTCTGATGCTTGAATATGTTTCCCAGCTTGGGAAAAAGAAAATACTTATTGTAAACCAGAAACAGGTAAAAATATTGGTGACTTAGTACACAGTAATGCAACATTCCCTTCCAGCAAGCTTAAGCGCATCTGTTTTCTGCAATGTTCATATTCACAAAAAAGTAGAAAACAATTGGATTCAGGAATTGGCATATAATGTTCATTATTTTCTTTTTAAAATTATTTTATTGTGGATTTTGCTTTAATCCTGTTGAAATGTTTACTTTGTTTACATTTTTAAAGGATAAAAATGTAATTTACCCTCAGCAATAAGGATGGTTGAGTATAACTCCCTGGCTTTTTACATTTTTATATCATTGGCCATAGATTGAACACCAACTGTTTGTCTGCTCTGTAACTAGTAAAAATCAATTGTAGGTTGCCACAAAGCTCAACACGGAAAAGGTAAATAATTGGCATTACCAGTGCATTATGCAGTATGTCCTCCTCACCAACAATAGAGACATTCCATTTTAAATTTTCATTTTCTCAAGTTTGATTTCCATATACATATTTTCATATAGCCAATGTTTATCAGTGTAAGAATAATGGGGCAGTATGGACCAGTACTCAAATAGACATTGACTGACACTGTAGCTTCCTTGGAACAAAACTCAGCTGACAGAGTTGCTACTAGCTATATTTATTATTTTATTATTTACATATGTACCTCTCATTTTTAAATTCCATGCATCTGTTCAGAGGCACAGGACTCATGGGGCGCAAGGCAGAGGAGACCTTGGGTGTGACATCGGTCCATCACAGGGTGCTCATACACATTTTTTTAACAGTTCAAGTAAACCCACACAGGCATATGGAGAACCAGAGGCAGGATTTAAACCCTGATATTATTTGTAATATCTGTTTGCAGAATGAGAATATTACAATTTTAACTACTTATTTCCTTCAGAATATTGAAGAGTCCCACGCTGGGTATGAAATATGGTGATAAGGCTATCTTAGTATCCTTCATCTACTGCGTGCAAGGGTGAAATTTAAATTGTATATATCATGCTAAGAGAATGCAAACTGTTTTGGTAAATGAATTTTCAAACATTTTAATGACCTCTTAATTTTACAGTAATTCAGGATGGAATATAATCTTTTTTTTCCTTTATATTTATCTGTTATTTTTGTCTTCAAATGTATAGTATATTACAACTCCAAAAACTTTTTTGACCAGTAAACCTCAAGCTGTATACGTCACATTTTATTCTACTAATAAAATCAAATACTGAATAGCTATTATACCATGTTTTGTTGTTGCTGCTGTAAAGGTCTTTTTAAAATCAAACATGTACATTAGTCTACTTAGTGATAGGTTGGTGTTATTTTGCATATATCTAGTATTTCTCTGAATGGTTACTAGCACACACAATACAATATACAAAGTGTAGATGTTTAATTTAAATCTGATGATTGTGACACAAATGTCATTTTATTAATGATTTTTGACATATTAACTATTTTGAGCCATTTTATGAATTTGTTTTCATTTCTCAGTTTTTAGTCATATTCCATAAGACCACATTACTAATATAAAAATGTATTTCTGAATCAGATTGATGCAGTTGCCTATTTGTCACCTAATTTGAGCAGTTTACATTTTTTGTCATAAAAATAGGCCAGTTAGTACACATTAATTTATTACCAATATCACTTTCTATTCGCTGTATTTTCTCAAGTTCACATCGTTATTTTTAGTGATTCACTCAGGGTTTATTTCAGTGTGTACTGTACCAAACAGAACTAAGACACGTCCAGGTAAAGAAATTAAATATGTGATGTTTAAAATATTTGTGCAATGATGTGAAACTAAAAAAACTTTTTTAGGTTATTGTAAAACAATAAGCCTTGAGTTGTCTATTGCAAGGACTTGGTTTGAAGTTTGTTAAACAATTTTATATATTAATGCATGTTTTTTGTTTAATGCGTACACTAACAGGTTGCTTCCAATGAAAAATGAAAATCTGGCTTAAAAAGTATGTCACATCCAGGGAAAAGTCATTCTGAATGAAGGGACAACATTTTGCCAGGTATTGGAATTGCCAGATGTTCTGACACTGTTATTGAAGCATTCAGTTTATAGAATTCTTTACATAATAATTTATAAATATTCCCTTTCAGCTTAGGTTTGATTGCTAATCAATGACAAGAAGTATTGCAAGGTGTTTGCAGTAAGTAGATTGCGGAGAGGCTACAGATGCAGTAAAGGGGGTGGGGGTGGGGTAATTGGTGCTCATATTTTTTGGGCAGGGGCTGGAAAGGAACATCATGCTGGTTACCTAGGAGGGCTCCAGCTAAAACTCAGAGGAAATGTAGATCTGATTTCGTGCTTCAGTCCTTTTGACTAGTTGTAATGATTTTTTTTTCTGCTGAAGAGTAGCCCAGAGAACGGTGTGCTTTTTTCTCATATATGGAACTTTTATTGAACTCATTTTTGAAACTGATTTGTATTTACTGATGTATTTTATTGAATAATTTAATTTCTATGCTTCTGCATTTTTGTACAATTTGTTAAACCAATAAAGGCACATCCTGTTAAGGTTTTGTGTCTGTGTAGTGGAACTTGCATGCCTGTACTTCAAAAGGTATTTCTCCTTTATGTAAATGTTCTTGTCACTCATTACAAAACTTTCCCCTTTATGGGAAAAAGGCTGGGTCAAGGAAATTTATTTGAAATGGGGACAGGGCAGTTTTTGAGAAGGTAGGGTATACTATTTTATCAAACATATACCATCACGATCAATAGGCATATTTATGGTCCCCGAACAGTTTTCCCCGTTTCGGAAATACGCTGAGCTCGGGTTGCGCGCGCAAGTAAGTGTTCACGACGGAAATGCTTGCGCGAGACAGGAGAGCGAAACGAGGGAGCGAAAACGGAGCGGAATTAGTCAAGAGGAGAGAGGGTGGAGAACAGAGGAGAGGGGAAAGAAAGAGTTTGTGGTACGACGGCTGTCGGAGTCTTGGGCCTCGGTGGACGTGGCTTGGCTGATTGAGTCGAAAGCGGCGAAAAACCCGAGACGAAAGGTTACCAATAACAGGCAGGAAGAGAAATGAATCGGGACGCCAGCAGGTAGCTAGCCCGCCGGAATTCTACTTATTTTGTTTGCATTTCTCTTTCTGCACATCTACATGATATTTATGAATGCATGCATGTATGTGGGTTGCCCATCGCGGGTTTAGCTGTTTGATATCTGGTTAACAAACTCGCTTTTGTTTCGACAATATGACGATACTGTGTTAACAAGCGATGTGTGCACCTACCTAACCTACCGAAATAGTTCGCTAACTGCTGAGTCAAAAAGTGCAGCAGTCCGCTCTATAACTTTTTAATTTGTAGCTTTTTAGCCGAGTTGGCAATAACGTTAGCGGCAGGCAAGATGGCTACTACATTTTTGCATTACTACATTTGCATTTTTATTCATTTATGTTTGCTCAAATGTAATCAGGGACTAGGAGGGGTGTTCTTATTTATTATGTTGCATTTTTACTCGTATATATTTTTATAAACTAGTTAGTGGGAAATTTACCGAACATCGTCATGCATCTGGGGATGTTGCTTTGATACGGAACGTGTTAGCTAGCTAGCTAATTTGCGTGACGTGTGGGTTTAAATGCGCTTGAAAACACCCTGCTTGCTAGCTGTTTGTTAGGTAATTTTAACAATTTACATCTAGAAGAAGAATTTTCGAGATTTTTTTCCGTATGTCTTATTCTTTTATGTGCTTACCACTGATAGGTAGTAAGGCCAATTGATTTGAAGTGCATTGCCCTGACGATGTATGATGCATTTTTAACTGAAGTACGATTTGTGGTTATCAACTACATACAAACCCGTGTCCCTAAAATTAAAATCACCAAATGAAATCGGTTAATTGCACGACGACTGACTGTTATCCAGAATGTGTTCTGAATCCGGCTCGACCGAAAGGCATCCTTTCAGGTCCAGTTCTCCGTTTCCAGATAAGTTGTAGCCTGCTGAAACAAGTTGTATGTAAAATTTTCTCTACTCTCACGCCATCCGCTTATTACTGTATACAATAACACACGTAGAGTCTCATGAAAATGCATCACATTGTGATGTATGGTAATTGGTTTTGTGGCCCTTTTTTGTGAGCAGCCTGTCTGAAGGGTGTGGTTTTGTAGCGTACCTGTACGTGCAGTTCACGGACGTTACTGGGGCTCTGCTCTCACACTTAAATAGCTCCCGCCAAATATTTTTGTTTTCTCTCGGAAATACAGCACGTAGCGTAAAGAACGTAGCATAGTATAACGGAACATTTCATCACATCTGTGTTTATCGAACAGCAGGTTCACTGTAACTGCAACGGTTTGTTAAAAACGTATTATACCACTTGATACTGGTTATGTTTAACAACACAGTCGTGGTTTATTGATGAACAATAAAAGTGAGAAGGTTAAGCAAAAAATATGTTAAAGGCACCTGTAGCTTGCCAAGTTTATGCACAAACAATAAAAATAGGGGCTCTCGCAAAAGAATTGTATACACTATTAGCTGTCATGAATCTAGAGTTAAGTTATTGTGAAAAGTGTTTTTCTCCATTTTTAAGAAATTCTAAGGGATTTTTTAATTTGAGGGGATGGAATTGATAAATACTGTTATATCTGAAATGAGTAACAAGTCTTAAAGAGCCACTGGGGATGCATTAGTTGAGCTCATGATTACTTTTTAAAAATTGTTTGTTGGCTCTTGTAGTGGGTTAGAATGTGAATCTAGGCCTATGGTAGGAGGTTTGCAGTATATTGCGCAGTTGCCTCACGCTGCTGTCTTGTGCATTGTCATGGTAGTAGAATACACTGAGCATGTTAATGCTAGTAATGTAGTGTTTAATCATCACAAATGAAGCGAAATAACATAAAGGCGAAATAAAATCGCATGATGTAAAGAGAAAATGTATATCACTGGATACCATAGACACTGAAAGCAAAATGGTTGTGAGCCACCCTCTCATTTATTAGTATCATCAATTGGCTGGTTTTTCAAAAGTCATGGTAATACTGAAGCAAAAGCAAAAAACAAAGTCTGGAGGTTTAATTTATTTCTGCCTGGATACAGAAAGTATGGATTAAATATTTAGGTGTATTCACGGGTAAGTACAAGTATAAATCTAATAATTTTTGTTATGTATTCATATTATTTTTGTGATGTGATGGTAACGTTAAGCAACTCTGTTGCTCTGTGCTGTAATTTTAACTTTACAGTGCTATACTTATTACAACAAATCTGGTTTGATCTCACATACATTAATGTTTTAAAGGTAAATTGTTGATTGTTTTGTTCTTATCCCTGTATGTCTGGCTTTCACTTGATTGATTGTTTTGGGAGATTTTTTGCTTTCTTCTCTTAATGTCTGTGATATTGTCAGACTCTTCACACTGCTGTGTCCCAAGTTTATTGTTTATACCCAATCAATGTTGCCTCTGTCATACATAGTGGCTGGTTTGTCTAATATGAAATTGTAAAAATGACCCTTTTGGGGAGTCTCCATGTCATATTTTTGAAAGCAGACAATTTTATGTAGTTAGCTTACCTTTCATAAGTCATGTGGCTCAAAAATCCATAAAATCCTGACTAGGTTATCAGTCACCAACCATAAACAGAATGGGGATTATGAGATATAGTAGTGTTAGCATGCTAACTAAAAACGCAATGTTCACCAACTCACAAAGATCAGTACTGTTATTTATGGAACCAAGCACATGGAAACACTAGCATTTTTAGCATTATTTTTACCTTTCACAAAAAGCAACCTCTGCAAACTCTGGCACTGTTAAGGTTCCTCTCCATATGATCCGCTCTTGAGATATTGTTTGACTATTTTTGACGGTGCTTCCTAGGTAAAACTTTCGCTCCTCTTTGGATTGCCTTATTTTTAGGGCTGCCACAATTAGTCAACGTAGTTGATGACGTTGACACTGAAGATGTGTGAACATCAATATTATAAATTGATGCTTCGTTATTATTTAAATAGATTTCTAACATGCTTACATTCATTATAACAAATGTATTCTTTTAATTTCACTTCATAATTATGGGAGTAGTTCAAATTATCACAAAACATTGTGCAAGATTTTGATGGCATACCACAGTGGCACTAGTGCTGTACATAAGCACCTGAAGAGAAAACACACTGGTGCTATTCTGTACTGCCAGAATAATCAAAACCACTGTAAGCGTTGTCTGTTCATTTTTATTAAATTACCATTAGTATGGAGAGCTTTTTTTATTTCCTTTGTCCTTGTAGCTGTTAAGTATTATTAAAGCCATAAAGTTGTCTGCCTGCTACCTTAGAATGTCCACTGAATAATTGTTTCAGAAACTGTTTAGGCTACAATCTGGTCTTATTCTATGTTGATTGCCTGTGTGTGTGTTGGGCTTGTTGGGACCAGTGTTATCATAAACTAAAACTGCAATGAAAATGGACACATAAAAATTGTGAACTGAAATAAAAATGACTGTTTACCAAAAAAAGTGTTGGACTTTAAGAACATAAGAAATTTACAAACGAGATGAAACCATTCGCCCAACAACTTGTTTGGGGAGAACTCAATTAATTGCTCAGAGTTGTTAAAATGTTATCTAGCTCTCATTTAAAGGAACCCAAGGTTTTAGCACTACACTAACAGGAAGACTATTCCATACTCTGACTACACTCTGTGTAAAGAAGTGCTTTCTAAAATCCAGTGTAAAATGTTCTTCTGCTAATTTCCACCTATGGCTAAGAGTTTTTGTATATTTTTAAAATTGAAATAGCCATTTGACTGAACAGCATCCAGACCTGTTAGAATCTTATAGACATGGATCATGTGCCCCCTTAGTCTCCTTTGCTCGAGGCAGAACAGATTCAGCTCAGCTAATCTCTCTTCATAAGACATTCCTCTAAGATCAGGAATCATTCTTGTAACCCTACGTTAAACCCTTTCCAAGGCAGCAATATCCTTTTTAAGGTATGGTGACCAAACCTGCACACTATATGCTAGGTGGGATCTTACAAAGGAATTGTATAATCTTAGCATCACCTTCTTTGACTTAAACTTCACGCACCTAGAGATCCAACATCCTATTGGCCTTTTTAATTGTTTCCCCACACTGGCGACCGTGGGACAGGGAAGCATCAACATACACACCAAAGTCTTTCTCATCATCAGCTTCCTTTATTTCAGTGGATCCCAAAAAAATATCTGTACTTCATATTTGTACTCTGTGCATGGATTACCTTACATTTGTCTACATCTGCCAGGTATCAGCCCAGTCACTAATTAAATCACGATCCCACTGAAGCCTCTGTTCCGCTAGTTCAATATCTGCTACACCACCCACCTTGGTGTGGTCTGCAAATTTAACCAGTTTACTGTATATATTGGTGTCAATATTGTTAATGTAAATTAGGAATATCACTGATTCTAAAATTGAACCCTGCGGTACCCCACTATAAACGCAGGCCCACTATGACATTGTGCCTCTAAGTAACTACCTGCAGCTTCCTGTCTTTTAAGCAGTTTTCCATCCAAATTGCTACAGTTTCTAAAATCCCTGATGCTTTGAGCTTAAGCTGGACCCATTTTTGGGGGACAACATCAGAGGCCTTCTGGAAATCTAAGTAGAAGTAAAAATTTGAGATCAATTTTTCTTGTAGCTTCCTCAAAGAACTCAAGGATAGATTAAAGCTTCCATTACTTTTCCACTTCTGCAAGTTAAACTAATTGGCCTATAGTCTGATGTAGAGGTTGACCGATATGGGTTTTTCAATAGCCGATGCCGATATTTAGGAATCAGGGTCAGCTGATGGCCGATATATGCTGCCGTTTTTTTTTTTGGCCGATAATTGCACGTTTTCCCCTCTATTTGCATGGTAAAATATCATACTAATAATAACAAACGATACACAAAATTTCTCAACTTAGCATTTATTGAATACTGAATTAAATTATTGAATAATTTAAATATGAACTTAAATAACAAGCACAATACAACTTGTAAACAATAACTTAAACTTATAAACAATAAAAATAGCAGCATCAGAATTCCAAACTCTGTCAGAATCAATGTAA